AAGGTATCTTAAAAGCACATAATTTCTTTTTTCTGTCAGACAGGATCTCCTTATATAGGTCAGGCTTCCCTTGAACTCGCTATGTATCCCAGGCTATCCTTGAACTCATGGCAATCCTCCTGCCTTAGCCTCCCAAGTGCTGGGATTACAGGCATGCACCACCATGTCTGGCTTTTTTAAATATAGTTTTCTTTACAACCACCACACAGTTCAAGCTATAGAATACTTCCTGTAAGCTCCCTGTGTCCTCACTTACTTCCATCAGCATTGATTAGTTTTGCTGTTCCTGAACTTCTTTTAAATGACATCATGTTCTTTTGCTTGGCTTCCTTTGCTCAACCAAACATCTTCAAGTCCTACCCATGTTGTGTGAAACAGTGGTCTGCTCTTCCTTTTTACTCTGCTCAGTCATACACATCCTGCCACTTATTTCTCATTCTCTGGTTGGGGGCACTGGGGCTGTACCAGTGGGGTCTACGAGGATTCCCACATACCTCTGGCGGACATGTGCCCTTGCTTCTCTTGGTAGAGACCTATGACTGGAATTGCTGAGGCATAGGGAAAATGTGTGTGCTAATGGACCTAATAAGAAAGTGTTTTCCAAAGTGGTTGTCCTCTTTGACAGCGTAACCAGCAATACGAATTGTGTCACCACTTCCTCTCCAACACTCGGTGAGTCAGACTTTCTCATCTCAGCCTCCTGGCAGGTGACTGGTATCTCACTGGTAGTGATGGGAAGTGCTCAATAACCCTTGCTGAATGGGCCCTGCAGTGGACTATCCAGGGGCCCTCTACTTGGTAGGGAGGGTCACAATCCTTGACTGTCACACTGGCCTTGGAAGCTACTCCCCATTTCACACCCATACACCAGGCACAGCCAAAGCCAGGCTGAGACATTCAGACAGGACTCACTCTCATGCTCAAGCCTCCCTGATGGCTAGAGAACATTCAGTCTCCAGCAGAGCTCCACAGGCAGGGTTCGACAGGCTGTCTCTCCTTGACGTTCAGTGCCACCAGCAGGGCCAAAGCCACTCCCACAAGGTACCTGGAGGCCTGGCCCAGAAGTGCGTCTCCTTTGGCCTCTGCCCTCTGAGTTAGAAGGCTGCTTTCCAAACACCTGGTGAAGGCTGGGCCAGGCCCTTCTCATGGGTCTGAGAGGACCATATGACTGGCTGGTCGCCTGGGTTGGCTCAGGTGGGATCTTGTGACCAGCATCAGCCAGTGGGAAGAGCAGAGGCACTGGGCCACTCCCAGTCCTGACCCATAAAAATATCCATGAGCTCTGAGCTTTCCCCTTCCATGATGACATTGAAAGTCAAGGCTGAGGGTAGTGGAGCCACTAGAGTCTAAGCCCTAAAGTCCTTGGAGAAGTGCTGACCACTGATCAGATAAATCCCATTATGAACTTTGTGTGAGTGATACACAAACCTCTGCTGCATTTGAGCCTATGTATTTTGGGTTTGTAACATTAGCAAGCTTGCTCTAATACAGGTATAACTACTATATATAGTAGAGTATGGAAAAGTAAAAAGAAATAACGAACTCTCCTTTCAGAGAAAACTGAGACACAGAAACTACAGCGCTTCTCTGATGTTAGTTAAGTGAAGGAGTCAGAATTTCAAACTGCAGCCTGGCTCCAGGGCTACCTCAAGCTAAACCAACAGCCCACGAACACGGAAGGGGAGGGGAGGGGAGGAGATGGAAGGAAGTAAAAAGAATTAAGATGTGTTAAGTGCACATACCAACTGCCCATGAAGAATGCAATCATGGACTGCAAACATATACTAATAAAAAACAAATTAAAAAAAGAACACGGAGGGCCAGACCAGCTGCTCCAGGGGCATCCTCATACCCATCTGTGCCTCCTTGGGCCATCTCCTGGTGTAAGAGGGGACTGCTCCCTGAACTCCAGCCTCCTCGATTTCTTGTCACCCTCTGGCCCTCTCAGATCAGAACCCACATTTTTTTTTCGGTACCGAGGATAGAACTTAGACCTTTCGATTGCCCAGCAGGCACAGCACCATTGAGCTATATCCCCGGCCCAGAACCCACATTTTGGCTGCACCTCAGCAACAGGCTCTCCTTTCCCTCCCTCACTCAATCCTGCTTGGCACAGCCTCCACTCTTGTGACCTTGAGTGTCCCTATTCCCGGGGTCTGCCCCCAACCTGCTGCTGGAGAACATTGCTCCCAAGACCACCTTCTGTTCATGGTCCCCATGTCACTCAAAGCTCTTTCAGTTATAAAGAACAGAAACTCAATGGTGTAGAGAGGGGAATGTTTATTGGCTCGGGTCACTAAGAAGTCCAGGTGCACAGGCTTCCAGAGGGACTGGACCAGGTGTTTGGATGCCATCAGATATCACCTCTGCCCCTTTGCTCTTAGGCAGGATGGCTCCTTGGGGTGGCCAGTGGCTTCCACAGCTCCCAGCCTATGCCAGCATGGCTGCTGCTGTCATCTTCCACAGGGGACCTTGTCAAAACCTTTCACATAGTTCTACCTGAAACTCTGGGGTTCAACTCTACCTTGAAGCAGTCACTGTCCAGAGCGTGGGTGATGTGACCAGCCAGGCTGGTACCCCATGCCCACCCAAAGCTACATGTACTCAGCTGGGGCAGAGAAGTTCCTCAACAGGAAAGAGAAGCTCTGTGACCGGGGCAGGAGTGGATGGGAGGCAGACAGAGCCCTCAGAGGTCCCGTCTCCAGCTGTCCAGATGTCTACCCAGCCACCTCATTCCACACCTCAAGCTGCCACCCACCACTCTCCTAGGCACTGTCTTAGCCATCTCCTCTCTTGCAGAGTAGGTGAGCCTGCCTCCTGGTTCACAGAGCAGTCACCATCGGGTAAAAACTGCAGGCACCTCAACGCTCCCTCCAAAACCTACACCGGGCATAGCAGTGCATGCCTGTAATCTCAGCACTTGGGAGGCTGAGGCAGCAGGACTGCCTTGAGTTCGGCCTGGGCTACATAGTAAGTTCAAGGACACCCTGAACTACATAGCAAGATCCTGTCTCAAAACAGAACCAAAACCAAAACCAAAAACAACAAACCTACTCCCTGCTCTCTTCTTCTTCAGGTTGGGATCTGCCTCAATCTATGAATTCTACTCTCCTCTCTCCTCTCTCTTCTGCCCCTCCCTCTCTAGAACTTGGGTTTCTGCCATCATTTTTTGTGTTTGTTTTGCAATGCTAAGGATGGAGTGTGCTGGGGATGAAGCCCAGGGCCTCTGCATGTTAGGCATGCGCTCTGCCATGTTTAAACAAACAAACAAACAAACACACCCTGCTCCTTCAGTCCCTTCACAGCCCCAGGTATAGTCCCCAGTTTTTCACCTCAGCTCCCCCTCCCTCATCAACAACCACCAGGGCACTGAAACAGCTCTAGCAAAGATTCCCCCAATGCCAGATACCTCAAAAGCACCATCTCCTTGTCCCTAGCATTTGACAGCTGACCTCTCTCTCCCAGACCCATCTGGGCAGCCTAGGGTCTAGCTGCTTCTTTCTCCTTTGCTGACCTCTCCATCCTGGGGAAGTCACGTGTCTCTAGGCCTCTGCATCTACACGCACTCACCTCCGAGTGCCTTCATAGGCACTCCAAATTCATCACAGCTAAAGCTGTGGTCTTCAGGCCAAATCCTATTCCCCCCCCCCATATCCCTCAGTTGCAGAAGGACCTCTGCCTCTGGCAAAATTGCAGAGAGAAACTAGGGTGTGGTCGTTAAGCATTCCCTCTCTCAGCTCCCCTTATGTCTAAGGTCAAAACAGACCCATCACCACTCTGTGTCCCTGCCTCATCCTGCTTCAAGTGCCATCATCTTCACCTGGCCTCCCAAGAGGCTACCAGAGCCCTAGATGCTTCTGCCCATCTGGAGGAAGCCAGCAATCTTGTCAAAATCAGATGTACCCATGACCTGGCAACCCCAAGGGTACCACATGGCCTCACTGGCCTTACCAAGCCTCACTAAGCTGCTGGTCCCTGGAGGGACGTGTCTGCCTAGGGGACAAGCATCACGGCAGGGCTGTGAAGCTGCCTTCCAGGCCCTCTACTGTTTCACCCACCTCTGCTCTTGCTGCTCCTTCCCACTGCCCTTCACTGTACCAGGTGCAGAGCCCTACATCTGCAAGGTCTAATCTCACCACTTGCCTGTCTGTTCAAAACCCAGAGAAGGGTAGGGATCTGCCCAGGGTCACACAGCACAGTGAGCCGACTGTTTCTGAGCACATCCAGCACCTGCTGGCTCAGGCCCTGGGCCCCTTCTTCCCATCAGCATCCCATGGCCTCCAGCCTCCCCAGCTGACTCTCTCTTCACTCGGCTGCTGACAGGCCACCACTGTTGCTAGCCCTAGCTCTGTGTGTGGGGTAGGTGGAAAAGCAGCCACAAAGCCCTGAACACAAGCTGGGAAGACACTGACATTCTTTTATTATTTTTATTAATAAATTTAAGAACAGTTCCGTAGTCTCTCCTCCCCCCAGAGCAACTAAAACCAACTAAAAGGGGGTATGGCCTGGGGGGCAGAGGGCGCTAGGAGTCATAGTCCTCTTCATCCTCTGCATCAGGTGCTGAGGGACCTGGGGGTGCCGGAGGCAAAGGCAGAGTAGAGGCAAAGGGCATGAAGGGAGTTGAAGGGCTGCAGAGCAGAAAGCATGAAGGAAAATCAGGCCACGTTTGATACCCATCCCTTCCGGGGCTCCACTCTGCCCTTTACAGAGCCAGCTGTGAAGCCCACCACCTCCTTTAACAGGGGAACCAAGCTCCAAATAAAGGAAGGGCCCAAAGCAGATCACACAGCCCCTGCTCACTCCACCCACTACCCTGACTAGAGTGAGGACAAAACCTTCTCATACAGCAGTCTCCTGCCTTTCAGCTCCCTTCAGTTACTCCCTTCCCATCCCCCAAGTCTGCCACAACCAACAAACTAAGTGTCCAGTCAGATGGATGAGAAAAACCAGGTGGCCTTAAAGAGTCTAGTAGTCCCTTCTGGTACCCTGGGGGTGTTTACCTCTGAAAGGGGGCAGGAGGGTGGCTGGCCTGGGCTGGGGGCTGTGGCATCTCTTCTTCCCCATCAGTATCTGTGTCTTCAGACTCATCCTGTGAGCACAGCAGGGGTCAGAGTTGACAACAAAAGGCACAAATCCACTACTGGGGAGCCCAGAACCCTGGGAATGGCAGGGACAGGAATAGGAGACTCCTAGGGCCCCACTTATACACACAGACCAAAGCATAATAGGTCACAGGTAAGGGTGAGATCAGCCTCCTGCCAGCTCAGCCTGGTGCACAGCTGCCCTTTCCACCAACATAAGGCAGGACAGAGTGTTGGTGACCTCACTCACCTCCTGCTCAGAGTCTGTCCCGGACAGCTTCTTGTCCTTGCCTTTGCTTCCCATCCCACCATTCTTCCGGCTGCTGCTGCCTGGCTTCCGTCCCCTTCGGGAAAGTACAGTCCATCTGCCCAGAGGTCTCCCCACTCCCTGGCTACCCCCCAACCACCCCCAATCCCTGTGGCCTTGGCCTTCCCCACCTGTATACCAGGCCCTGACCCCCCACCTGCGAGGACCCTTGTCCCCGTCCATGTGGTTGTCTTCCCCATCCCCCTGCATGTCAGGCACCGATGCCACCAAGTCCTTCAAAAAGTCAAACTGCTGCTCCAGCTCAATGCATTGCTTCCTGGAAGAGGTGGGGAGGGAGGCACTCAAGTGGGGCTCTGACACTCAGCCCCTCAGGGAGGGACAGCGAGAGACCCTGAATGTCAGGAGAATGAAGCTGGAAAACTCACTCCCCATCTCCACCCCTTCCTCCACGCTTTGCTCGGGTTGGTTGCACCTTCCTCCGATTCCTAATTCTGCTCCACCTGCGTCTGAGGCCTTGTCGCCCCCAGCAGCCTCCCGCCTCCCCGGCTGTCAGGACGCTGCCTCCCCAGACCCCTCCCAGCTCCGCGGCCACTCACAGGTGGGACGTCGTCATGGTTTTGGCGTTGCGGGACTGGGTCACTTGGCAGGCCTTCTTCAACAGCGACTCCAGAAAGAGCTCGAGCGCCCGGGCTGAGGAACGTCAAGGAGAACGCGGGAAAGGGAGGTGCCCGGCCCCTCCCCGAGCCCCTCAACCCGGCCAGCCCCCGACGGGATACAGATGATGACAGGCACAGCCGCCGCCACCTTCCCGATCTCCTCGTCGGTCTGCATGATCTTCTTGATCCGTGCCTGCGGAAGGGGGCAGAGTTCGGACGCCGTCGCCTTCGGCCCGACCCGAAAGGGTGCGGGGGCAGCCAGAGGGTACCCCGGGAAGGGGGCGGGGGACACGGGCGCCAGGAGTGCACGGAAGGGGCGGGGCGCGCGGGGCCCCAACACCGAGATGCACCCGCCCCCCGGCGGGGCCCGGGCCCCAAACTCTCCGGAGCCCGACCTACTCCCGCCCGGCCCAGCCACGTGCTCACCGGCGGGAACCGGGCATTGTACTTTTTCTTCTTGCTCGGCATATCAGGGCCTCTGTCGCCGCGCCGGGCCCAGAGCCGCCGCCCGAAGCCTCCCGGCTCCGGGGCCTGCTCGCCGCCCGCCCGTCGCCGTTCCCCCGGGTCCTGGTGCCGGCCGCTCCGCCCCCGCCGCGGCCGTCAGGGTCCTAGCGCCGCCAGTCACGACGCCGCTTGCAGAGCCCAAGCGCCCTCCTCTCGGAGCCTCCCGGGCGGTTCGCGTCAATACAGCTGCAGGCCCGCCATTCCACCCAGTCGGCCAGCCCGTAGAGCGAACGTTAGCTCCGCCTCCTATGGGCCCGCCTCTCTCCGGGTCCCCCGCAATGGTACCGCCCCCAGGCCAGTTCCTCCCTCTGCCTTGCCCCTTTCCCTTGTAGACCCCGCCCCGCGGCCCGCCTGTCCGGCCAGTGGCCCCGCCCCGCGGCTGCCCTTGTCTATAAAGTTGTTGTTGAGGCGGCGGGGCGCTAAGATGGCGGCGGCGGCGGCAGCTGTGGCGGGGGCGGGGTGTGGCGGCGGCGGCGGCGGCGGCGGCGGCGGCGGCGGCGCGGATCCCCAGCAGGAGAGGAGCCGGGCTCGGAGTTGGGTCGGCGCCGAGCGTAGCGAAGCCCGGAGGTGAATGAGGGGCGGCGGGAGAAGGGTCCAGGAGGAGGCAGCGCTCAGGTCGTGGGCGCTAATGGCGGCGGGCGCGGCAAGCCTGGAGCTTGAACCTCTTGCAGGCTCTGACTTGCTCGAGTTCGAGTCCAGGCACCGCTTACTGGCCTCAGGCCTGTTACTGCCTTCTCTGAACCTCTATGTCCCAGTCTTAAGTGGGCCCTGGAACCCGGCCGGGGAGGCCTGACTCTGAGGCCTGTCTCTGACCGCGAGATAGCTGCGCTCAGATACCTGCCGGCCTCAGGTCAGGAAGTGTAGCTTCGGCTGGCTGCTCCCACTCTTCCATTCCCATTTCGTCTCTGCCATGCTGTACTAATGTGACCTTGGGCAAATCCCTTTCCTCTGAGTGCCACTTACCTTGTCTTAAGCAGGGAGAGTAGTGATAACACAATGCTTATCTACGCCTCACTCTACCTCAGGCATTTAATTTTCACAACAGATCTACTGGACAGGATCGGTTGTTATCCTGTTGTGGAGATGAAGCACCTGAGGGATAGCCACCTTAGGTCTTGGCCAAGGCCACACAATTCAATGCAGGGCCAGACACCCAGATGGGGCCCAGCACGTTCTCGTTATTGTCAGGAAAGTGCCCTGACTCAGTTCCCCCACTACAGGATGGAGCCGGGTGAGGAGCTGGAAGAAGAGGACTCTCCAGGCGGTCGTGAGGATGGCTTCACTGCTGAGCACCTGGCAGCAGAGGCCATGGCAGCCGACATGGACCCTTGGCTGGTGTTTGATACTCGAACCACACCTGCCTCTGAGCTGGACGCCTGGTTGGCGAAGTACCCACCATCACAAGTTACCCGCTATGGGGACCCTGGTTCACCCAATTCGGAGCCCGTGGGCTGGATTGCAGCCTATGGGCAGGGCTACACCCCCAACTCTGGTGATGTACAGGGCTTGCAGGCAGCCTGGGAGGCTCTGCAGACCAGTGGGCGGCCCATTACACCAGGTACCCTGCGCCAGCTGGCCATCACCCATCACGTGCTCTCAGGCAAGTGGCTGATTCACCTGGCACCTGGCTTCAAGCTGGACCATGCCTGGGCTGGCATTGCCAGAGCTGTGGTTGAGGGCCGGCTTCAGGTAGCCAAGGTGAGCCCACGGGCCAAAGAGGGTGGCCGCCAGGTCATCTGTGTTTACACCGATGATTTCACGGACCGCTTGGGTGTACTGGAGGCAGATTCAGCCATCCGTGCAGCAGGTATTAAGTGCCTGCTTACCTACAAGCCAGATGTCTACACCTACCTGGGCATCTACCGTGCCAACCGCTGGCACCTCTGCCCCACTCTCTATGAGAGCCGTTTCCAGCTTGGAGGCAGTGCCCGAGGCTCTCGAGTACTGGACCGTACCAACAATGTGGAACTGACCTAGAGGGGGCCAAGTGGGAAAAACCATTCTCTGCCCCTATTGCTGGGGATGGATCCAGCTGTCTTCCTCATCCTTGTCCCAAGAAGGCCAAGCCCCCCAGCTCTGAGGATTAGGTCACTCAGGCACTCCCTGCATCTTCAGTCCCTTGATCTTTTGCCCTCTTTTCAATACTGACTCCAACTTCCACAGCCTGGGTGTTCTGACTCCTTGAGGGCTGGGATCTCAGCCACTTCAGTCCTGCTCCCTTCTATTGCCCTGGACCACAGATTGAGTGCAGATACTCAAGAAGAGAGCCTTCCTTGGTCACCCTCACCTCCAACTATACCTCTCCCTCCTGCATTCTTCCCTTCTTCCCTCATAAAGGGGAAAACTTAGTGCTTCCAGTCCCTCTCCTTGGAAGCATCATAATCCAAGGGGTAGGAGCCCTACAGGACTGAGCATGCCATTTTGTAGGGGGTAGTTGTGCTCACTCATCCCCCTGGCAGAGAGTGGATGCAGAGTTGGGGACATGGGACCTCCCTGCCAATTCACAGACCTGCATCACTTTTCTTCCTTCCCTGGCTGCCTTGACATGTGCCTGCTCCTGGCATTTCAATAAAACCCAGTTTGGGTCTGTCTTGAGTATTTTTTATTGTTTAGAGGTTTGTTGGTTTTTTGGCTTTTTGAGACGGGTATGTCTATGAGCATTTTTTTTTTTTTTTTTTTGATACAGGGGATTGAACTTGGGTCCTTGCGCTTGCGCAGCAGGCAGTGAAACCACTGAGCTAAATCCCCGGGCCTAGAGACAGAGTATGTCCATGTAGTTCAGGCTGGCCTCCAACTCAGGTTGATCCTGCTGCCTCAGCCCCCCAAGTACTGGGATCACCATGCCTGGTTTGAGTATTTTTTTATAATGCTGTCTTGAGCTAGGCGTTGTGGCACACACCTGTAGTCTCAGCACTTTGGGAAACTGAGGCAGGAAGATAGAAATTTTGACCCCAGCAGTTCAGCATCTTAACAAGACCCTGTCTCATGGCCAGGGATTTAGCTCAGTGGTTTCGATGCCTGCTGCACAAGCATAAGGACCTGAGTTTGATCCCCGGTTCCAAAAAAAAATACAAACTATAGCCAAACAAGACCCTGTCTCAAAATAGAAAAGGTTTGTCAGGCATGGTGGCACTCAGGAGGCTAAGGCAGGAAAATCAACACAATTTGAGGCCAGCCTGAACTACATTAGTGATACCCTAGCCAGGAATGGTGGTACACACCTATAATCTCAGGACTCAGGAGCCTGAGGTAGGATTGATGCAAGTTCAAGGCCAGCCTGAACAACATAGCAAGACCCTGTCTCAAACAAAAACAAGACTGGGGATGTAGCTCAGTGTGAGGGCCCTGGGTTCCATCCACAGTATAAAAGAAGATACTGTCTTGGTGGTTGTTAGAGAGATGCAGGTCCAGAAGAGATTCCTCCCCACCCTCACCTCAGTAATAATTAACTGCTAAAGGTGAAGGTGGTCTCCCACTCAGATCCTCTCCAAAGTCAGCCTGCTTCCCCTGCATCCAAAAAGTCAGAATCACTTTCTCCATGATTCCCCATAAATTTAGCGGTTGACCTTTCTAGGAAGGCTCAAGGGTGCATTTGTGCGTAGAAAGATGCTCTCTTGGTCCTGGCAGTCCCCAACCAAGGGGCTCAGGTTGATCAGAGGACCCTGGGCTGGACATCCTCACACAGCGAACAATTTGCATAACCACAGGGGGTTTCTCTAGAACCGTGTCATTTGTGCTCACCTCTTCCAACACCCTGACTGTTGTGGTAGAGCCATCAGACAGTTTCCAGTGCAGTTCCTCTTGCATCACTGAACTCTCGTGACCTCTTTAAGGAGGTCCTGGCCCCATCCTATAATCAAAGAAATTGAGGTCAGGAGGGGAAAAGCATTTTCTCAGAGTAATTCAGGGAGTTAAGCAGAGCTGGGACTGTTTTTAGAGTATGGCCCCTAACCTTAAGGAAGCCTCTCCTGCAGTTAGCTCTTCACAGCCCACAGTGCAAATCTGCCCACGGGCAACCTCCTCTTAGGCTGCTGTAACCTTCCAGAGCTTGCCACTTCTGGGAGCCAGGCTCCTGCACCCCGCTTCCCCAACCCTGCCTTGGTTGTGGGCTTGGGGGATTGACAGGAGCCCCTTGGGATGCTGCTCTTTTGCCTTGCCAGGGCCGACTCAGCCTCCAGCAGCCTCACCAAGTTGGAATTTGGAGCAGGGGAGGGGAGATGCCACTGGGCTGACTGGGTAGAAGTGGCTGAGTCATAGACATTGGCTCAACCCCTTCCCCAACTTCCTCCCCACCCTGAGCTTCCCCAGGGCTGAATCCCTTTCAGCCCATCCTTGGGAAGTCCCCAGAGCTGGTGGTCTTTGAGTTGGAACCTGGTGCCTATGTGCCTCTCTTGCTCAAAACCCCTCTTGGCTCCCCACAACCTGTACAACAGAGTCCACTCCCGAGGCCGCACATTGACCTGGCCCCACTGCCTGCCTCAGCTTCCCTAGGGCACCCCTTTCAGCCCATGCTCACCCATTGAAGCCAACTGGCACTTCCGTCACCCCCTGGCAAGGAGCCCTGGGCCTCAGGCCTTCCTTCTGCTATAACATCTGCTGTGCAGCCCTGATCACAGGAGCCTGTGACTACTTATGTGACCACCTCACTGATGTCTGTCTCCACTGGTCCCTGAGCAGA